GAGAACTCCAAAACACTGACAGATATCACTTCATAGCAACTTAAAAAATGGGTTCCATGTGGTACTAATGGCTGATAAGATAAAAATAACATTTGGTGGTACAGATGGCTTTGCTGGTGAGAGTTCCAGCAGATTTGTTTAAAAGGATTTGCATCATCGGTAATGCATTAAATGGTAATGCATGAAAACATACAAGAAGAACCACAGAAACAACCGTGTTACTCGTCAGAACGTAAATGTTCTTTTATTTAATACTGTGTAGAACAAGTGAATGTGCACTATAGGTGTGCACATGTTTTCTTTTAGTTTTCTCTCTTTATGTCTCTCCCTGTCGCTTCACCCTAGACAGAGAGAGAGATAAAGTTGTGTAGAGCGTGTATGTGTGTTAGTGTGTGTAATAGAGTGGGCTTTGCCTTAAACTCTTGTGTTTATAGCCACTGTGGGCTGTCGTGTGCTTCTTTAGCGCAAGCTGCTTGTGAGCAGTGTGACGTCCAGCTACTCGTTATTTTTCTTAGACTGTTTGAGAGGTCAGAGGCCCTTTATTTTACTTTTCACTTTTTTCTCCTGTTTATGGTTTTGCAGGGAGGTAAGAATTAGTTCCAATTCCAGGGAAGACGACCTAAAATTAAGTTAGAAGACCCGTTTTGTTAAACCCTCTCACTTCGTACTATGTTTTCTTTTACAATGAATGAATCGTACCCCTACATGTAATCAAATAAACATTTATTTTTCCTTAACTACTTGGCTATGTGATGAAGTGTTTAAGACGGGACTCCAGGCGTCGCCTTTTTATACTTCCTTTTACTGACTTAATTTTAATGCAATCCTCAACAACAATAAACAGAAGGGTTACAACTTAAAATAACATTTTCTTCAATACTTTATCTCCAAGCATAGTTGTAATACTTTTGACAACTTGTCCTGACATCAGCCACATAACTTTTCAATGCTGTCCTTTTTTTTTTATCGTTGTCTACGAATCTTGGACAATAGTGGTGCTTTCTAACCATGAAAGATGGCAAGAAGGGTTGAGTAGACTGACAATGAAAAATAATAAATAAGTGCCAGGACCTTTTGTTGCTTCTCGCCAAAAAGACACATTATCTGTCTGGATTTGTGTGGATCTGTGAAAAGCTAAGAGGGTTTGCTCCAGCTCTCCCACCCTGTCAGAACAAAGGAATAACACTTGGAGAGAATTACAGAAAACGCCAGGGGGATATTTTGACTGTGACATGCCATTGACCTCATGGCATCTGATCAGAGTCTGATCCTTCCCCTTTAAGATGTCTCAGAGCATTGTGGGTAACCTGAAGGGGTAGAGTTTGCTGTGGCAGTGGCGCAATAGGGCTTGTAGAGAACATATTATAATAGGTAAATCCATGTACTGTATTCCCCTGTGAAATAGATGCTGGTACAAGGAGCGAAATATAAAACCCTATTTGATTAGGGAGGCTGAACTACCTGATTAGTGTTTCATTGTAAGAGGGATTATCTCAGCATGAATTTATTATCTTTGATGAAATTTACAATAATAACAGTCAATTTGAGAACAAACCAGCATATGGGATTAAGAGCTTTTAACGCAAACACAGTAACACTTGAGTGTTAGTAATGGTCTATGTCCCTTCATTAATAAGAGGATAAGAAAAAAAACAAAAAACATTCTTGTTTAACACAATGTTCCATGCGTGAATAAATGTAAACAGAACAGACCAAAGGGATATTGGTCTGTTCTGTTTTTTGGGATATTGTGTACTTACAATATCCCAAAAGTCTCCAAAGATTTATTTTTATTTCAGAGAAATTCAGATTTTAAATAAGAGGATGTTCCCGGAAAAATAAATAAATAAATAAATCGCCTGTCAATGACGCAATATCCGCGCTATCCTCGGTTTCCGTTTATACTGCCACTGTTTCTTTAAAACATAGGCCATGGCAAGCCAACTTTGGGACAAACAAGGAGAACTAAAATGAAAATCAATATCAGCGTGGCGTTTTTGAGATGCTGAGGGCTCCACGTCTGCGACTAACTTTGAGTTGACAGATCTTCACGAGTCCCGACTTGACAGCTTTATTAGACAGGAGAGCTAATGTACAGTACATAAAACAAATCAATGTTATATAACATTAGCTCAACATGATGAAATGTTGAGCTAGCTTGTTACTGCTAGTTTTGTATAGCAAACAAACTAGAATGTAGTATAACATTATAACTTTCAACAAATATTTAAATGCCATTTAGTGTGAAACAGCGCTACGTTAACTCACAAGTTTAATTTTACTAACCTGTATGTGCAATCAAGGAAGTTTGCGGGTCGTTCAGTAGATTTAAATTATTCCTTATACCTTTGTATCCGCGGGACTTGCGTGTGATATCTCTAGTCTTTAGCAATTGCTTGATACAAAAGCTTGTATATTTAAGTTCAGTAATTTCACTTAAATGGTTATTTAAGTGAAATTACTGAACTTAAATATACAAGTTTGATAAAAATGATCATTTTAGAAGAAAATTTCAAATGGCACTTAGAGGCTTTTGCATCTGAACTCTTCATGTAACGGAGGCCAGCTAGTAGTTGCTGTGCGAGTAAACCTCACTCCCCGATGTCAAAAGGCGCTCTAGCGACAGACGCAAGAGGCTGCAGTCTTTAGCCTCCTTGCTAGAGCGCCCGACTCTCACGCCGGAGACCCGGGTTTGAGGCCCGCTCGTCGCGGGGCGAGTAGGACCCGGGTGTGAGGGGTAACATATATATATATATATATATATATATATATATAATGTTTTTGAAAGTCGTGTCTTATGTTGACCCAAACTGCATTTATTTAGTCAAAAATACAGTGAAAACAGTAATAATGTGAAATATTATTACAATTTCATCGTCCTCGTCACTTACAGAGATAAAAAGAGAGAGACAACTAGAAAAAAAGCAATAAATAAATAATTCTTTGCTAGCTGGGGCCTTGTTCACAAGTACCGTAGCTGATATCCCAGGATCCTCCATAACAGAGCACTGGCAGTATTTCCTCAATTTTTTTCTTTATCTGCCGATGCACAATGGCTTGGATTAGTCTCTGGGTTGACTTTCTCCAATGTCTATCAGCCATCAGCTTCAGTTTTTTCCTATCAATCCTAAGAGCCCCGCATGTCAGAACATGATGTAACATGCTCAGTGAAGCCAAGCACAGCTCAGGTGGCAGGCAGGAGATGTTTCTTATGAGGTGGGGCATGGAAATATTAAGTGTCAGTGTGAAATGATAACATATATTCTGTGGATAATCATTGCCTTAGTGTAATGCATTACAAACATGTGTGTTCTTGTCTCATTGTTTCATTTTATGACCCCCTTGTGTTCGGGAGCATGAGAGAGCCCAAGGCCAATGAGAACAGAGAATGTGATTTGGAGTTGCTGTGAATGCGCATTTGCTTTATTGCGCTTAAATAAATAACCATTGGCCCAGTAGCATAATTCATCTTCATTTTATGACATAAATAAGGAGCGAGATGGTGGTGAGAGTGAAATTCATTTGTGTTTTGCCTTTGAGCAAATGTCTGTGCATTTTTCATCTGATATCTTATTGAAGCCTAATTGTTTGTGTGTGTGTGTGTGTGTGTGTGTGTGTGTGTGTGTGTGTGTGTGTCCACATCTGCTAGTCTTTTTCACAAAGACTCAGAGATAACATGTTACATCAGCAAACAGTACACTGTTTAAAAATTGACATTAGGCAAAAATTGATGTTTGAAGAAATTATTGCTCTGTCCGATATTGCTTGAGTCTTGAGCTAACACAAAAAATGAATGACATATAAACAGACCTGTACACTGTTTTTGTCAACTTGTCATAGACTTCATAAGACAGCAGCTAGCGTGTTGCATAAATCGTACTCGGTTACCTAATGTAACCTCGGTTCTCTCTAGGGAACGAGTGTTGCATAAGTGGCTCACGCTATGGGTAAAGTCATCTTTTCTCGAAATCTGAAGCCAAAAATTCTCCATAATTTTGTATTTGTCAACGCAGTGCAGCAGACCATAGCAGACTGAGTAAGTGTGCTCATTGGCTGTCTTGAGGCAAATGCAGTTGCCTATCGAACTTCAGATTGCCAAAACACATTACTCTGTTTAACTTATAATTTTAGTATAAGTAGATGAGGACAACAACAAGCAAATGCGAGTAATACGGCATATTCAAGAAAAAAAAAAGAAGAATAAAAAAGATTGATGACATTCCAGAATGTAGTCAGATGCAATATGATTTGGCAAAATCAATACCTAAATAACTATTTGGCTTTTGGTTAACAAAAATAACTGGCATCAGAGTATGATAGTACACTGTTAGGTTAATGGTTAGGCCTATCTGGTAGAAAATACCCAATACATGCATGATGAATCTGATCTTCATGCAAAATGAGTTGGATGAGCCTGATCTCTATTAAGGATTTTTTTTTTCCTCTATTTGAATGCACTAACACTATTGGATGAGAACTGAACTGAGCAATGACATCACTGTTTTCTCCAGAACTGCTTTATAGATTAAATGAACTAATGTAATAATTGATGATATTTATAATAGAACTGAATAAACACTGAACTGATTCCAGCTGAACAATGACAGTGTTTTCTTTTATTAGATATGCTGTATACAGCCACAACAAATTTAGTTTGCATCATTTTCCCGCTATCACTGTAAAGCTGCTTGAAACAAACTGTATTGTATAAAGTGCTTTATAAATAAAGGTGGTTTGACTTGATGTACTTGCAAAGTTTCTTATAGTCTGTGGAATATCTACTGGGGGACCATCAAAATAAAGGTTTTAGCAGATTCTATTATTAACTCGAATGACTGCTATTAGCATGTAGTTACTTGAATCCATAGTACAATGCCTAAAGTGGACTATTGGAAGAAAATGTTGCCTTAAATTGTTTTGAATGCTAACTTTAATAAAACCAAACAGTGTTTTTCTATACTCTTGTAAAATATTGCAAGAAAAAAAATAGGGTAACTTACCATACTGAAACAGAATCGTTTGGCATGGTCAGCCTAGAGGCAGGAGAAGAAGCAACGTCTGTGGCCTACAAGGAAAACAGAACTATAGTTAAACTATAGTAGAAATCACTTAATTAGCACTAGAAGGTAAATAATAAATCATTGTTAGCAATCTTGCCATTTCAAGTGATGCTCGGTGCTTCACTCATTAGATGACATAGATTATGACAGAACCAGAGAGTGAGAACAATGGAAAGTGTTATATTATATTTACATTTAAAAGTGCCATAAGAGAGACAAAACAAAAAGAGTTTAACATGGATCTTCCATGAACAGCATTACAGAGAAAGTCTGTCCAAATCTTGCAGTACGTATATGTCCATACTCAAAACAAAACATTTTTTTTGCACACGCTACAAATAAAAATAAAAAAATAAAATAAAACATTTTTTTTTTCCATGTGTTTAGGCTACTCGCGATCAATAAAATTAAGCAATGAAATCCAGTCAGTCACTGCACTCGGTAACCCGAAGGTAAACTAGCTTAGAGAGTTTAAATAAGGCAGGTTTTTATTAAAGATTTTTGTGATTACTAATCAAATCAACAATTAAGTCATAAATAATGACATTTATTTATTTAACATTTATTCTGTTTAATAACGATCCCAAATGAACAAAAAGTACTCAAGCAGCACACTGTTGCTATGGTTACCCTCTCAGGTGAACTATTTTCTGTTCATGGACATCTATTTACCATTTGTAGAAACATCGTATAGAAGAAATCATACAACAAATCAGAAGATGAGTTGCTATGTTCCGTTCAGAAAATAACTGAACAATGTATCTATTGAAATATTCATAAATTCCGTAGCAACTGCAGATTGTGAACAGTAAATGTAGGTTAAAGGATTTGTAAAGCCTCAGTAATAACAACATAACTCTATTTACTAACTATTGGCAGGTACAGTTTGCTGTCAGCTACCGCAATCCATTTCGTATGAAAATAACCTGAAACATTCTCCACACTGCTGCTTATATCCTAGTTTTTTTTTTGTATTATTATTTCAACATCGTTACAACAGGTTCATGTTCCTCAGGCATGTATCAGAAATGAAATTAAAGGTAAATCGTTTTAAGCATCTGACAGATCCGGCTTATTGAGCTTCTTTTCAGTAATAGTGGATGGCAGGCTTGTTCTTTATAAGCAATTCATAGACATAAGCATGTCTCTTTGATGTCATTGTTATATATGAAATAAACCAACAGAGTAAGCTCTAGGCAAAAGTGAAAAAATAAAATAAAAAAAGAAGAGACAAGAGTATATTTTGAGCATGTATTATGATGGAAGTGATGCCATGCGTTTCATTCAGGAGGAATCTTTTTGACTCAGAGAACAGATCTTAACTTTTGAGTCAGTCTGAAGCTGGCAGTGAGTGACTGCAATATAGGATAGATTTGGGTATTAGAACACATGGAATTGGTGAGTAGGTTCCTCAGAGTGTTAAAAGGGAGAAGGCAAAGAAAGTTGAAGGACAGAAATAGAGACAAAGTTTGGGAGAGCTTGATAAGTGCTGAGAATAGGATATAAAAAATATTGCAGAACATATACAGATTTAAAGCGGTTATGCAACAGATAAAATAAAGTGCACTTTATTTACTTTACAACATTAAAAAAAAAAACATTTGGCTAAATTTAATTACAATGCCAACTTTATACAAAGCCAACTTCAATATCATTTTATGAAGATATTTAATAATAAAAAAATACATTTCTGATATTGATTAACTTTTTTTTTTTTCATTATGACAAGACATAATTCTGAATTTACAATAAACTGCCAAGTGTCAGCTTTCAAATGAGATCATACTTGTGCTTTTAGTGCAAAAGGTTCATGAACTGTATCGGCTTTAGTTTTGGTATGCCATTTCTGAGGATTCTTCAAAAGTGGCTGGCTAAGCATTAAATAAAAATGTCTGTAAGGCATCTGTGTATTTGACAAATATAGCATTTATTTCACTTCAGCTGTGTTAAAGCATACCACGGGAAGCAGAAAGTGTCCGACTTTACGTCTCTGTTTTCAGCTCCTCTCTGGCAAGCTGCAACTGAGATTGGTTACATCCAGCCACTTCTGAAGTCAACACACCAACTGACAAATCCTCTCCCATAGCTTTTTGAATAGCAAAGTGTCCATCATTTGTAACTTCAGAATCTCACCGGAACTAGAATGTCATCCAGGTATTTTCTGCCCACTCTGTATGAGTATACTGTGAATTCAAAGGTATTTCTTTTGTCATATACTGTTTTTCACCCACTACAGTAGGGAAGTGAGCAATTTCAGAAGCCACGAGTGAGACATTTAATCATTCACTGAAGTGATTTGTTCAAACACAGTGATTCATTCAGCACGCATGGTTAGATGGAATTATTTTTCATTACAATAATGTTTATGTCCTGGAATATCTAGAGAATATACAGTATTTGGAAACACAATTTGCTGAAGCACATGAATTGGTATTATGTTCAGTTTTATATGCTATTAAATGGATAAAAACGTGGTAATTTAATGACCATGCATCCCACACGTTCAATAGTGTCTTTACAGTACCATCTGTTAATTATCATGATATCAATGGCAAATAATTATAACAGTAACTGTACTGAAACAGAAAACTCTGGTATGGAGCCAGTCGTAAATTAGACGAATAAAAACTGTGTCTCTGCCTGTATATGTGATTGTAAACTTTGGCTAAATAATAATAATAATAAAACCTAGGTTACTTCACCCATATAAACATAGTCTTCTATTACACGCAGCACTGGGGAGAATGACAACAGCGCATTTAGACAAACTTTTTATCTTTTTATCGAGTGTTCATCACCCGCTAATCCCCCACGGTTTGCACGAGATAACACCCTGACCTGTCGGCGAGCTCAACGATTTTTAAATCGGGCTTAAATCGGGCTTAAAATCATGTTGATGTCTTTGACATGCTAAAGGAGGTCTAATAGTAAATTAAACGCTCATTAAATTAATACTAAGCAAACCACCAGACCAAGGCCTTCTAGTACTTTCTTCAATCTGTCTCCAGTTGGTTTGGGCTAATTAAAAAAAGTGAAAACATGGGGAGTGTTCTGAAGACACCCCCATTACCAATTAGTGCTTTCCACCTGATGAAATTAACATATCAAAAAAATCGACCAATCAGGTTTTTTTTTTTTTTTTTTTTTTTTTGGGAAACCCGGCTGGATTGCGAGGCGCCCTAGTGGTGCTAGGCCCTGTGCGGTTGCATAGTTCGCACAGCCCTTGCGACGGCTCTACTTTTTATAAAGCCACCGGACACCAACGAACATCTCTAATTGAGCCATTTAGGTGCGTTCAATGTCACGCTGCGGCTCAACGCCAGTGGGTGTGTCTTCACATTTAAGCCATCGTATTCAAGAAAACTACTTCTAGTGAGGCAGGACAAATATTAAAAACACTCAACCTGTCACATAAGCTTTTCTTCTATCAGTTAACAGGAGTGAAAAGTTTGTTATGTAACATTAGTTGTCATGTCCTTCTCTCAGTTATATAACCTGTAAACAGTTGCAAGTCATTAATGGCTTCATTCCATCCTTTTCTTATTTTCTTGCACTTTTCCACACACACACACATGCACAAAATGAAATCTCACCCATCCTTTCTCTATTATATACGTTGATTCAACATTGTTAAAATTCAAATGATGATGATGCATCTAGCACACCTTGAAAGCAAATGTTGACAACAAGTAAAAATGAGTAGTTGTGCGAGTCCTAGTATTTATTTACAGGTATTCATCCATATCTGTCTGCGATGCTGCACGTGCACGGATGGTAATTCCCTTAAGCCAGACTTTTGCAAAAGCATATAAATGAATTTGTGGCTTTCTCATGTGTGCTGGAAGCCTATAGACTTCAGCTAAAGCTTTCAACTCTATCTTTCCAGTTGCTGCTCCCCAAATCCCTCACTTCAACCTTTACCAGGACATCAACCCCTCAGCCTAGTCGACTGGACTGAACACAAATTTTATGAGCCCATTCCACTTTCTCAGCTCATTTGTTCAAATCCTTGTGAATTAAGGGAGCGGAGGTCACCAGGTCACTGTATCCATCATTGATTTTGTATATAATGATATAGCCTTTTGAGAAAGGTCAGCATTGTGATAAAAAAAAAACAACAACAAAAAACCCTTTTAAAATATTATAATAGAAACCAATTATTTTAAATTGTAATAATATTTCACAGTATTGTTGTTTTTACTATGTTTTTAATCAATCAAATGCAGCATTGGTGCACATAAGACACTTAATTGACCCAAAGGTTTAAAAGCATACAAAATCTATGTACAGCTCCTGGTTCAACAGACATGGGCAACTCTAGTCATTTATTCGCTGATTTTCTTTTATTTTCGCATGTTTTCTCATCAGCTCCCCCTTCAGCTGTGCGGCATATATTTTCACAACACTGTAATCTCACTTGCTGCGCCTTCCTCCCGCTTTCTACCGCTGCTTATGTGCATTTGTTATTATCGGAGCCGGCCAGCTTTATCGTGGGGAGCTATGTCTACCGAGTGGGTAATACATCATACATATTATCATAGAATTATGTCAAATTACCACAAAGCACTTTGTGTTTCTCGCTTGTTCTTGCCCGTTCTCGCTTCTCACAAGACTTAAATTTCCAACTTACCGGGAAGTTAGTCCCGAAAAGGTTGGTTTTCCGCCTGGGAACGATGGGGGGAGTGGGGAAAGACACCATTCTCTCCAGAACAGGTTATTAAACCATTCAAATGATTTCTAAACAGTTTTATTAAGTTGAAATAGCTGAAATAGATATTTGCTGCTATATTTTTTTTGTCTGGGAAAAAAAAAATATGTAAATACAAATTGGGTTACTATCTGTGTTTAACAATTTGGAAATGTATGACGCTGTTATAGCCTTACAAAACCTAGGGGAAACTTGAAGCTACAATTTGCCTCTTATTGCCAAAAATAGTCTCACTCTAAAGGCAGACTTCATGTCTCCAAAACAGAATTATGTATCCCCAGGGTCCAAAAATAAACC